TTCTCTTGTCTTTGGGTATCTCTTGAAGCTGAGTCGGGAGGGATGCCCAGTGCCTTGGGAGGCAGCCTGAGCTACTGGGTGCAGCTCATACCACAGGCCAGTGGATGAGGTATAAATCCAGTCGATATCCTGACACTCAAGGCAAGATCTGACTCTACCCACATGGGAAAAACCCACCCGATGGACTGCTATACAGACTAAAGAACCTCGGCATATGGGGGTAGAGCTTGTGAGCAACAAAATGGGTTATTTGGCCAAGAAAAATATTTATTGGGGTTTGAACAGGAAATGGAAAATTAAATGTGGAGTGGAAACTGGATGACACCATGGTAGGAATAAACAGAAGTTTACATAGTTCTAGAGACTGTGATAGCAATACAGTAACCAACAGTGTGGAGTCTGGGAACATAATGACCACAGACCCAACAGCACAAACCACCTTGGGCAAAAGTCAAGTTAAATGACAGCCCTTCATTGCAGAATGAATGCATCAAGCAGTCATTGAGACCCCCAGGCTTGCAGATGAGTCACCCATGTCCAAAGAGGAGATCAGGAAGGTGGGATGGAACTCTATACAACAATTTGACACAATGTTCCCCTTTGGTCACCAGATTAAAAAGAGCTCCCCTCACAACAGAGACAAGCAACAGAGACAAGAGTGGCATTTCTGAGTTTTAACACTCAAACCCTCAGTTTATGAACAAGTATTTCATATTTCCCCCTGCATTAGAATGTGTGACACACACAATTCCATATCATGTTGGTTCTCCAGCCTGGGCTGTCCCCTCAACACAAGCCCTCTGGCCCTCACTAACATCTGCTCATCTGACATGTTCTACTATGAACTAAATGAACTCACCCTCCCAAACTCATACATTGATCTCCTCACCTTGCCCCTAAAGTGTGGAATTAGGAAGTGGAGACTTTGAGAGGTGAGGAGGTCTTAAAGATAGAAATCTCATGAATAAGATTAGTAGGTTTTTCAAAAGGTTCAAGAAAGACTCTCCCAACCCCCACTGTGTAAGGCAAAGGAAGAAGCCATCTACAAACCAGAATATGGCCCTCAGCAGACATTGGATAAGTGGGTACTTGGATGCTGGGCTTCCAGCATCCAGAACCAAGAGACTCCAGCTAAATCTGTCAAGATGCCATGAGAGCACCCACCAGGTACTAAGTCAATGGGCATTAAGAGCAGGCAGCTATTTAACAAATACATACAATGGTGGAAGCAGCTTTGGGACTGAAGGTGGGCCTACAAGTTTGAGTTCTAGGTGAATCACTCAAAACAAACTGACATGGCCACCAGTGAGCTCCCAAGGGCTAGAGAGAGACTAGAGAGACAAGGGGATAGCTACAGGGAAAGTCACAGTCTTCTCAGACACCAAAGCAGCAATGACAGAGGCATGCATGCAACAGTTTTGAAGAAGCCTCAGGTGAATGGACGCTAAACAGGCACAAAAGACCCCTGGGTGTGAGGTGATGAAGAACGTGGCCCTGCCATGGAGGTAGAGCTCATTAGTGGCAAGACAGGGTATCTGGCTAAGAAACACACTGGGGTTTGAACATGAAATGTTGCCTACAAGCTCATGTGTTTGAACATGTGGTCAAGTGGTAAAGCCTCCCTGGAGCAAGTGGGTCATTGTGGGAGGGACTTGAGGTTTTGGAGCTACCCTCACTTCCTGTCTGCTTTCTGCTTCCTGACCATGAAGCATACATGACCAGCTGTCTCATGATCCTGCCACCCCACTTTCCCCACCATGATTAACTGTATATCTTCAAACTGAAGGCCAAAAGAAGCCCTTCCTCTGTAAAGTAACCTCTTACCAGGTGTGTGGTTCTAGTAGCAAGAGAGTAGGGAAGGCAACATCTAAGTAAAGGTGCCACTGGGCTTCTATTAGTCTCTTATGGTAAAATGAGGGAAGAGAAAAAATGATTTCAGGTCAGAACTCCTCCTTGGAGCACATAGAGGGTTCCCTGGCTGACTGGACATACCACCATCCTCCATTTCTTCTCCACAGCTCAGTGTGGCCCACAATTTATTGTTTTGCCATTCCTGGAGTGGCACAGGGATTACCACACAGTCTCTTCTCAAAGTATCAATACTGGTTGAATGTCTATTTTGTGAATGACTCAAACAAGGTATGGGCTAGCACTCAGAAATGAGAAGGTAAGCAAAAAGCTTCATGAAGAAGAAGCCTGAAGCATAAAACCAAACTGCAATTATCTATGACTTGGGTCATTATTATCACATGGCCCATGTTGCCAAGAATGACTCAAGTCTTTGCCACAGGACACGCTTAGTGATTTATAATTTCTTAAAATTGTTTTATACAGGTGTCACCAAAAGACTAGAATCATCTTCTCTTGAATTATGGGCTACATAAAATCAGGCAGACCAAGAGACAGGACAGATGGCAGACGTTTCACCACACAATTAAGTGGGACAGCAGTAGGCAGCACCCATGCTTTCAGACAGCTACCCTGGAGAACCGGCATTTGCTTTTGCTCAGCCTCCGGCATAGGTCAAAGAGTGCAGAGGCCCCAGCACATTCCCCCATCCCAAGGGGGGACAAGGTGATACTAGGAACATTTCAGGCTCCTCTCACAGGAAAGTCAGCAGTGGCCTCAAGTCTTGGGTCTCTGGCCTCCAAACCGTAACCCAAACTGTCCTGCAAGAGGGCTTCAAGGCCTAATGCACATCCATACATGTCATTAACAATCACATTAAATATGAATGTGCTGGAAGCCACTGCACAGTGAGGAATTAGCATAGAAATGAAGATGATGGAATATTTACACAATGAAATATTAATAGCAGTCAAAATGAAAGGGCTGGGTTTATATTTAGCTGCACAGTACAATGCTTATTTTAAGTTTCAAAGGGACATATATGATAGGCAAATGCTTAAAAGATTTTTTTAAAATTCTCAAAATGATGTTTGTTTGTGGATACATACACATACACAGTAAAAGCAGAGAAGTACAGACATGAATGGTGCTACCACTTTCAAAGAATCACCCTGGAGAGGAAGAGAAGGCTGGGGGTGCTGCTTAACTGTTCTTTCTGTGGCTTACTTAACCCAACGTTTCCTTTTGAGATTTTTTTTTTCAAATACAAAGCTTAAAGTGAGCAGTGACATAAGTTTGGCTCATCATTGTCCACCCCTCCGGTCTCAGAGCGTCCATTAACTCCAGTGATTTGCAATGCACATCAGACTGCTGCTGGGGTCATGTCCCAAGCCCAGACTTCTTTACATGTTGATTTTTAACTGTGGCCCGACACTGGTTTCCATGTATTCTTTTGATGTGCAGTCAACATACTATGAGTTTTAAAGGATAAAGATGTTCATGTAACCCAAACCCGGACCGAGATACCCGATCAGACTATTACATAGAAAACTACCTTCTTCCCATTCCAGGCCAAGCCCTGTTCTAACCTCTCCAGAGGAACCCCAGGCTGAGACTAACTGGAGACTGCTTTTGTTCACTCTAACAATTCTAGAAGTGGTGCTACCACACAGCAGGCTCTGTGGAGAAGGCTGTTTTAATGGCCCATCAAACTCTTGGGCATTCTGTGGTTTTATTGCAGAGTATGCCTCCCCTTGTAGAAAACACTACCAGCTTTACCTACGGAATCATCTTTCCAGCCCTTTAACTTATTTGGTTAGCTTTTGTTTAGCATATGTATGCATGTGGCAAGTGTGCATGCATGTTCACATGTGTGTGGGTGTACACACATGGGGGGGGTGGCTAAAGGTTTATGTCTGCTGCTTTCTTCAATCAATCTGCATCTTACCTGTTGAGGCCAAGTCTCTTGCTGACCCTAGAGTTCAACTTATGAGCTAGTGGGCTAAATAGCTCAGCAGGAACTTGGCAGGGGGTTCCCTGTCTCTACTTCCTGCAATCCAGAATTATGGGTGGGGTGTTAAACCCACCCAGGTTTTACATAAGTTCTGGGGATCTGAGTGCCACTTCTCATACATGGCATAGTGGTTTGAAAGAAAATGGCCCCCAAGGGAGTGGCACTATTAGGAAGTGTACCTTTGTTGGAATGGGTATGGCCTTTGTCACTAGGGGAGGAGGTGGGCTTTGAGGTCTCCTGTGCTTAAGCTACATGGGTATGGCCTTGTTGGAGGAAATTTGTCACTAGGGGAGGAGGTGGGCTTTGAGGTCTCCTGTGCTTAAGCTATGCCCAATGTGGCACACAGTTGCTTCTGCTGCCTACAGACCAAGATGTAGAACTCTCAGCTCCTTCTCTAGTACCACGTCTGCCTGCGTGCTGCCATGAAGACAATGGACTAAACCTCTGAAACTGTAAGCCAGGCCCAATTAAATGTTTCCTTTAGAAGAGCTGCTGTGGACATGGTGTCTCTTCACAGCAACAGAAACCCTAACTAAGACACATCATGGCATGGACATTACCTGCTGAGTCATCTCGCCTGTCCCAAACCCTGAGTTTTGTTTGTTTGTTTGTTTGTTTTAATAACTAATGTTGGAACAGCAATGACAAGGGCAAATGTACATTTGTTATTATAAGGAAGTGTTGTGACTTGTCCCAAGTGGGTGCAGTATTCTCTATCATGCCAGCATGAGAGTTCCAGGTGTACTGCATCCTCCCCAGCGCTCCCTCAATGCCTTTTTCATCTCCCTGTTCTGATGAATGTGCAGCAGCTTCTCCCTGTGACTTTTGCATTTGCATTTTCCTGCTGACTAATAATGCCAATGTCAGCTATTTGGGAGAAAGAAAAGTTTACTCTTTAAAATAAGACAGAGACAGGGATATGTAAACAGATCTAGAACAAACATGGGGTGGGTGGGGGCTTACATCTAAGCCCCCGGCATGCTAGTTTGTTGTTGTTGAGGCCTCATGCATTAAAAAATAAAAATGCCATTCCATCTACATACTGGACTAGAAGGCATGGCCTCTTGGTGTGAGGAGAGGTCCAGAAGAGAGTAAGGAGGGGCTCTGCATCTTCCCAGCATTACCAAGCTCTGCCCATCTAGGTCCTGGCATTACTCTGCCTCTGCAGGCCACTTACCGCTGGCACTCGCTGGCATGCAAGACAAGCTCAGAGTTGTTCCTGGCACAGATTGTCAGCTCGTGCTCTGTGGAGTTGAAGACATCAAGGAGGAGATGGCACTGCCGGGTGCTGCATGGAAAGACAGAGGGAAGTTCAGAACTCCCCAATAGCAAAAAGAAGCAACTTAACCCTTTCTTCCTCTCCCACTATCTGAAGATGTGCAGAGGTGCAGTTTACAATAATGCCAAAGTCTCTGGGCATGGGCTTAGAACTTTGTCATACCCTCTATGGAACAAATGACCTTGAAAATTAGCTCAGTTCTCTAAGACTCAGCAAGTGGCAAACAGCTGGCCCTTAAGACCATCTATTTACATAGTATACAGTGTTAATCAATAAGGGCTCTTTCCAAATGAGGAAGTCTTCAGCCAACCAAGACTGAAAAAAAGGGCTGGGTGCTGGAATAGGAAGAACTGGGCCCAATGTGTTTATGCTGACTTCTCTGTAAGCTTCATTTTCCAGGACTCCAAATTATTCCTCTTTGGAGATGGTGCACATATTATAAGCTAGTTAACTTTCTGGGCACTTGAAGCCTCTTCTCCCTTTGTTTCCTGTAGGATAGAAAGTAAAGTTCTCAACTTCTAAAGGCTCCTAATAGCAGGCAGCATCCCAAACAATAAGCCACAGGTTTCTCAGACCCCAAGTAACAAAGCCCAGAGGAGGCTTCTAGCCTTTAGCCTCCCCAGTTTCACTTCCTTCATCCTTAGAATGAGAAAGAGGCCTTGAAGCTAGCAACCATTCAGAGATGAGAACCAATCCAGAGGCTGTGAATGGCAGAGCTGGGGCCAGAAGGAGCTGGAAAACCAGGCACTTCCTATAGCAGCAATGCCCCACCCTACTGCCTCCTCTTTATAGACTTATTAGCTACAGAGAAATACTTTAAAAGAACCAATAGCCAATTCTTCATTTGTGCTGATCACCACAGTTAAGTTTCCATTACAGTTTGAGTGTTTGTCTAAAACTAACACAGCTTCCCAAATACCAGGTGTCATGGTGAACACATGACAGGAAATCAATACCTGTTGGCTAATCTAAAAGGGATAGCCAGTGGTCACTGCAAGAGCAGAGTAAGAGGGCAGCTGTGCTGGCCTTGGGGAAACAGGATGAATCGTTTGTCTTGGAAATAAGGGAGAGATACAGAGACAGAGAGCTGCTCTTGGGGTCATCTCTAGATCTGTGTGCAATTAAAGCATGACCTCTAGGAGACATCTGACTTCTCTAGTGTGTCCTCAAGCAGGAGGCAGAGCTCTGTTGGTTATTTGGAAAGCCAAGTCAAAGGAATAGAGGGCTGTAGGATTCTGCCTCTATGTCCAGACATGTCTGGGAGGGCAGTACAGTGGGGAGGAGGCTAGACAGAGGACTGCTGGGTTGTGGCTGAGTACAAACTCAGAGCTCAAGCAGGTTTGCCTTCACAGTCGGTAGACTGCATTGATCACACCTGTACTCTGCTCCCTTGAGAGAAGGAGACATAGATGCAGGGGGCTGTGGGAACATGTCTAGGGTTCATACACGCACAAAAGCAGACACTGCCCAGAGGTGGGGGGGGGAGGCGCACAAAGCTGTCTTTCCTAACACAGCTTTGTTTCCATTTCCTCCTTCTCAAAGGAAGGAGGCAGAGGCAACGCATCACTGTCTCTGGTACAGACAATGCCAGTGGAGTATCTTCAGAGGACATCCTCATGTTGGCTGATGCTGGGGCTTGAGAGTAAGGGTGTCTTCCCCAGAGCTGGTGGCATCTGGAACATGCAGCTCTCTATAAACAGTCTCTTCCCTTAGCTCCTAGGCAAAGGAGAGTCCTGGAATGAAGACCCGACAGGCCTTTGTCATAGCTTCAAGAAATCTTTAACCACAGCAAAATCTTTCATCCGAGAAAGAAAGTCATAAAACATTAATGGAGGAGGGGGATAAGGCAGTTTTTAAAGCCTGCCTAAAAGGCTGTTTTCACTTGCAGAGCACCACACTGTACCTGGGAAGCCACATAGGAATGTGGCAAATCTACACTATGCATTGCTGTTCTGAGTCACTGTTTGTGTGGGGCATCTGAGCTGGTGTTTCTATTGCTTCTGTAGACATGATGACATATTGGTGAATCTTCGTTTTCTATCTGTTACTCATAAATTAACTCCCATCTCAGACCTTGGTAGCATTTTGTGCCCACCATAATATCATTTACTTCTATGCCTTTTGGCATCCCTGTGGTCGATTTTCTTTATGAGCTGTTGGAACACATAATTTATTTCTCATTCTTGTTCAATTCTTGGTTTTTGTTTGCTCTTTTGGATTCACCTTTCTGAAGAGGAGGGAGGCCTAAGAGATTTTTCCCCAAAGAACCAAAATCAGAGCAAACTTTGGAGAGCAGATAAACCGGCACAGTGATAGATTTAGGTCTATGGCCAAGGTGGGCAAATGAAGAAGAGAAAGTTCAGCTGCCAGAAGCCACACAATCACAAATTTATCAACCAATTCTGCTAACAGACGTCTCCCATGCATGTCAGTTACTATTGCATGAGCATAGTTGAGAAAGGAAGGTGAGGAAGAAAGATAGGATCTCAGTTTTCTTGCAAATCAAATTTGGAAGAGAGTACAGGAAGAGGGGGTTAAAATATTAAAATAATCTTTTCCATGAAGTTAAAAGCAATAGATTCAAAAAGATTGCAGGATAAAGTCTCACAGTATTGGTGACATTTCTATGTATTAACTAAAGATAATTACAAGGAGAAACATTTAAGAATATAGATTTGTAAATGCAATGCAGCCCAGAAAGCACTTATAAATAGAATATATATATATATATATATATATATATGACATTTATGAAAACTATTTTAAATTTTTACCAAAAAAATAGTAAAACAGTCAAATGAATAAAGATATTTTATGCTTTAGGATAAGAAGATTATATTTTAAAAGAAGTCACAATTCTCCAAATCTACATGAATTCAATGAACCCTAATAAAACAAGGAACAACTAAGTTTTAGTTTTAGTAAATTCTAAATTACTAAATTTAGTATGTGCTATTCTAAATTCTATAAGTTAAAAAGTGTCAAGAACACACAAAACGATGATGAGCCTGCTAGACATCAAGAAATCTTCCAAAGCATAAACAATGGAAGACAGCCCAGAACATGTCTCAGAGCTGGAGATTGGAGGTCTGACTAAGAGGGGATGCTCTCTAGGAGAAGATTCCAGAAAAGCCCTGGATGGCATGGGTATATGCACAGAAAACCATATCCCTACCTCACACCATGAGCTTAAAAGTCTACAAAATAGCTATTTTGTGTGGTGTGGCAATTTCCTCAGAATTCAATTATTTATTCAGATACCCCTTCTATAGGAGGACAGAAACTGATCCAACTTAACAAGGGTTAGGAAAGACAGAATGTTACCTCTCCCTAAGGTTGTAAGTCAGTAAACAAATACTGAGAGTCTTTCCAGTCAGCAGCTATGCAGGAACCTCTAAGAACACAGCTCCCATGAACTGTCACTCCTGCTGGCGTAGGAATATTGGTGATACAGCTGTTCCTGGGGCATTGGTGTCTGTCGCTATAAGTAACCCCATACACTAAGCTAGACTTGAGTGGACCACTTCTTTGTTCTGTCATCAGTGACCTGTCTGTGGTGAATAGATGTTTGCAACTGTCCAGAAAGTCATGCAACACTATGTCAAATTTACTTACAAATTTAAAAATTTTAAGACAAGCAACCAGCTTGTGAGAAGTGGAAGATTTCACAAATGAGTTATGGCATATAAAATACAATAAAAGAAAGACAGCATGTTTGGCCATGTTAAAGTCAGGAACTTTGATAAGAATGGAAGCTATTTAAAAGCTAAGACAAACTAAGCTATTAAAAAGCTAAGACAAGCTCCTTGCGGAAAGGTATTTGCAGTGTATTAAACTGACAATAAATCAGAATTCTGATTTCATGGAGAATTCCCATAAATCAATAAGAAATGACTCAGTAAGAAACCAAGCAAAGGGTGTGAAGCAACAGTCAAAACTGGAGGAAATCCAATGGGCAGGACACAGATACTCTATCAAGCTAGCAGCCAGAGCAAGAAATCAAACCCTAAGACACTATATTTCCCACTCAACTTAATAGAAACATTTAAAAAGTGTTCCAGGTGCAGGAGTTGGCCAAGATGTTCCTCAGCAAAAAGTAGGGTGTAAATAAATTGGTACAACTTCCTAAAAAGGGAAGCAGGGAGGAAGGGAGGGAGGGAGAGAAGGAGGGAAGGAGGCAGGGAGGCAGCACTGGGGTAACTTCCTTGAATGATGTATAAATATACTTAGACCTGATAATTCCATGTCAATGTGCACTAACTCACAGGGCTCCCACAAGGACATTCTCAAAACCATTCACTACTACATGGTTGACAGAAGCCAAAGGCTCCTCTTAACTAGGTGAAAGCCAACAGAAAACAGGATGGAACAGGATCACTGGGGCTGTGGGTGTCAAAACCTGTGCAAAGGAGGAAATGAGCTTGCAAGGACAGCCTCCAAAGTCCTGGTGTGGTGGTATGAATAAGAATGGCCCCCATAGGCTCAAATGTTTGAATGCTTGGTTCCCAGTTGAAAGGACTTTGGGAATGATTAGAAGGTGTGGCCTTGTTAAAGGAAGTATGTCACAAGGAGTGGACTTTGAGGTTTCAAAAGCCAATACCATTTCCAGTTAATTCATGCTTATGGTTCAATATGTGAGCTCTCAGCTACTGTTCCAGTGCCATGCTGCCTGCTAACTTCTGATTGGTTCCTTGCCAGCAGGAAGGTATCTGACCTCCTAGTGACTAGGGCGCCCAGCGGGGGGGGGGCCATGGCTGCTAAAGCAGGGGGCTGGTCCCTTCAATACAATATAGCCAAATGTTAAAAGCAGACTGCTGTCTTTGTTTTCATTAAATGTTTTAGAAAAAGCATTTGAAAAACATTTAGAATACTGTCTGAGCCTAGGGGCTTCTCCAGAAGGCAGGTCCTATGAAAAGAGCTTGCAGGGAGCTGGGACTCAAGGAAGAGAGGCCAGGAGAAGGGCAGAGTACAGACAGAGCAGACAGAAGAGACTAGGCCACACCAAGGGC